TGGATAAGGTTCCACATTCTATTTCACAAAGCTTTTTTAATGTTAATAAACTTCAGTTTACCTTCTGTTACATATCTTTTTGGTGTCATATCTAAGAAGCCATTGTTCAGCAAGCAAGGTCACAAAGATTTACTTCTGTGTTTTCTTTTAAAATTTTAAATTATATTTATGATACATTTTGAGTGAATTTTTGTGTATGGCATAAGGAAGGGAAACAACTTCATTCTTTCATATGTAGATAGCCAGTTGTTCAGGGGCCATTTGCTGAAAAGAATTCTTTCCTGCACTAAATTGTATTGGCATCCTTGTTGAAAATCAACTGACCATAAATGTGAGGCTTTATTTCTGGATTCTCAATTCTGTTTCATTGATCTATATGTCTGTCTTTATCTGTGTTTATTACTACTAAGTTTTGTACCAAGTTCTAAAATCAGGAAGTGTGAGTTCTGTCTTTTTCAAAGTTGTTTTGACTATTCAGGATACCTTAAAATTCTGAATGAATTTTGAATTTTAAGATGAGCTTCTATTTGTGCAAAAAAAAAAAGGGGGGGGGGAATGCCATTATGATTTTGATAGGTGTTGCATTTAGTCTATAGATTGCTTTGGGTAGTGCTGTCATCCCAGGTGGCGCTGTAGAATAAACACTGAATTGCTAACTGCATGGTTGGCAGTTCAAACCCACTGGAAAAAGACAAGGCTGTCTTCTCCTGCAAAGATTTGCAACCTCAGAAACTCTATAGAGAGCTGCTATAAGTCAGATCAATTCAATGTTAGTGGGTTGTGGGTCATCTTAACAATATTAAATCTTTTCATTCATGAATGTAGGATGTCTTTCCATTTATTTAGGTCTGTTTTAATTTCTTGCAGCAGTATTTTGTAGTTTTTAATGTACTTATCCTTCTTGGTTAAATTTATTCATAAGTATTATATTCTTTTTTGAAAGTATTATATTCTCTTTTGGTTTTGATGCCATTACAAATGGAATTGTTTTCTTAATTTCATTTTAGATTGCTCATTGCTAGTGTACAGAAGTACAGTGGCTAGGCAAGTTGCCCAGGGTCATGACTAATTTGGGATAGGCTCTCTCTGTTGATCCTAGAGATGGGTCCTTGTCTCCTTTCAGCATCTCTGGGTCTGATGTTCCTTGGAGATTTCTGTGTGTCTTGCCATCAGTCTTCCTCTGGGTCTAGGAGGTTCTCAGCTCAGGGGCCCCAGGTCCCAAAGAACATGGTCTACTTTCCGTTCTTCTTTCTTGGTGGTAGTCAGACCCCTCCTTCTCTGTTCTTTCCTTTTATCTCTTGTAAGATGACATAGGCCATACCCCCAGGGAAACTCCTCTTAGATCAGAACTATGACCTAGTAAGGGTGTTGTAACCCACTCTAATCCCGTTACAGCTGACCACACCAGATCACATCATAGGGGATAATTACATCATTACAAAACGGCCAAACCACTGAGCCTAAACAAGTCCACACATATGTTGAGAGGACAATTCATGTCATGCCATGAACCCAGCAGGAGTTGGAAAAGTTGGCAGTTTCTAGTTGTGTCTGCCTGTAGCTTTTGCATTCTCTCCTTTTGAATATTCCGTGTGCAATAGATAGATGAGGAAGCAGTGAGTCTTCCTTCTTCCGTCCTGAATGAATACTTTTGAGGTTGAGGACCAATAGCTGGACCTTGTCCATTGGGTGGAAAAGATGGTTGTGTGACTTAACCTGACATACTGAGGGAGTTAGCCCTGAAGTCAAGGCAAGTCAAAGCAGATGCTTTCCCAGGCCTCCCTGAAAACTCTTTTCCTTTTTTTCGACCAGGCCTTAGATATTGATATAAAGTGAAAGAACTTCAGATCATAAATGACTGACCACAATGAATAATGATATAGCCATTTTAAAAAATGAGATTATTCTCTGTGTGCTGATATGAAATCATGTCAGGATACAGAATTAAGAGAAATGTGAAAGTTGGTATGCTGCCATTTGTGTTAGGGGGAAAGGAAAAAAAGGAGAGGAACCTATAGATACACATCGGCTGGTAAGTGTGAGTACCTTTGGAAGGATACCCAAGATAAGAGTCAGAGGTAATGGGAGGCATCATACTGCTTGACTTTTTTTTCTTGTAATTATGCCTGGAGCCTCTGTGGCACAGTGGGTTAAGCAGTGAACTGCTAACTGCAAGGTCGGTGCTTCAAACCCAGCAGCCACTCTGGGAGAAGGATGAAGCCATCTCTGCTCCCGTAAAGATTTATTGTTTGGGAAACCCTACGAAACAGTTCTCCTCTGCCCTGGAGCATTGCCATGAGTAGGAATCAACTCTCTGGCAGTGCGTTTTGTGATTATACTACCTTAAACAAGATTTATAGAGTAAAAAAAAAAAAAGACTTATAGAGTAATGGGCCTGTACAGTGTGCAATGATGAGGCCATGAGGTGGCCATGTATGCACATGTTTCTCAGGCAACCTGTGTTCTCAGGGAAACAGCATTCCTCTGAGTTGTCCGTCTCTAAGGCATTCTCCAGACCTCCGCTTACTTAAAGTCTCCAGTGTCCCTTTGTGGGAAACCAGTGATGAATCTCAAAGACTCTCGAAGGTTGTGTATTCCCTTTTGAGCACTATTCCAGTTGTACAGAAATCCTGGTCTGTCTTCCCAAGGTGAAGGACTCCCAACTGGCCTGCAGCCTCCTGCAGACTTCTGGCCAGGCAGCCCTACTTACAAAGGCCTTTATTCTTTCTTGGCAGATCCCAATGGGGTCTGCCCTCCCTGACCCTTGCATGAGGGAGAGTGCTGGGAATTGAACTAGAGGCCAAAAGTCCTTGTACTTCCCAGGCCAAGTGAGCATCCACACCAGCATCCTGTCCTTTTCCAATGAAGGTTGACAGAACTGGCAAGCAGGAGTACATCTTTTTGGGGGAGTAACCACAGACTCTTCGCTCTCATCCAGAGTAAATGTTTCCCTTCCTTCTTCGGGCCTGTCCTGGAAGGCCCAGGTCGGATTCCAGGCCTGGCTCAGGGGCTTTAAGCACTGAGGATCCTCCTGTTTCTCCCACAGAGAATACCTTCTGCAGTGGGGACCATGTGTCTTGGCACAGCCCTCTGGATAACAGCGAGTCGAGAATTCAGCACATGCTGCTGACAGAGGACCCACAGATGCAGCCCGTCCAGACACCCTTTGGGGTTGTTACCTTCCTCCAGGTGAGATGAGGCCTGCATGCTGACTCTAGCCTTCTCTGTGGGCAATGCCCTGGCACAACAGGAAGACTTGGGGGTGGGAGGGCAGGTTTCCTTGGATCTTCTCTGATTTTCTTGTCGCTCCATTGACTTGTCAGGTAGCTCCATGTGGTCTGATTTCAGCTCCTGAGGCGGGATCAGGGGGAGGGGGCCATTTGGGTGGGAGAGAATGGTTATAGCTGAAGCGGATATCAGGGAGAGTGATTTTATGACCTAGTAAAGACCCAGACAGCCTCAGCCCAGGACTTCCCAGCAGGAAGCCAGCCCTGGGCTGTATTCACCTGTACCTGGACAGTTAGTTGGGTCTACCCCAGCTGCAGTCAAGTGCTTGCTTCTCATCATGATGGGTCTAGATGAAGGTTCCATTGGTTCCCATGAGATTTACACATATGCAAGCTGTTGGGGCCCTTTGGTCATTGGCTACCAGCGTGAAGGATCTCAAATATCTTCTCTGTTTATATTCCCCAGAATACTAGATGAGGCTGCAATGTCTCCCTGGACGAGGACCCATAGAGACATGGGCTAGGGACCCATCCTGTGTTGGCTCAGGTCCTATTTTTCTCCTGTAGCCTAGGGCTAGACTTTGCATCAGTCAGACACCTGTCCGCTAATAGCAGGGCAAAGTCAGTCTATCATGTCTTGTCAGTGGATCCATCCGTCTACTCTCTGGGCAGCTGCTCCCTCCTAAGATAACCAGTGGTCTGGACACACTAGCCCCTCAACACAGATCCTGCTTTTGGTCCTTCCTCCTGACGTGACCCTGAGTGAACTTGGATGGCTGACCTGGGAGGGTGGGAGAAGTGGCCAAATTGCACACAATAGCATCTTGTCTGGGACCTCAGATTGTTGGCGTCTGCACCGAGGAGCTGCATGCAGCCCAGCAGTGGAACGGGCAGGGCATTCTGGAACTGCTGCGGACGGTGCCTATGTGAGTACACCCCTATTCTCCAAGGTGGGAGCTACTCCCTGAGCCTGAGGTGGGAGTCTCCCTCACCTACCCCAAGTGTGGCCCTCCCCTCACACCCTTGCATTGCTGTTTTAGGCACTGTTTTTCACATCATGGCTTCCTGACAGTTCGCTCCCTGGTAGCCCTTGACCATTAACTATCCCCCTGTGTTTCTGGGCCTGGGACAGCAAACCAGGCAGGCTTCAGGCCCAACCCATCAGACCTCAGTTGTCATCATATTGCCTTTCCTTGTCCACAGCGCTGGAGGCCCCTGGCTGATAACTGACATGCGGAGGGGAGAGACCATATTTGAGATCGATCCACACCTGCAAGTATGTCTTAAGTGAGGAAAACTTTTCTAGCACATCATTGTGCCCTAAGCCTCTTCCACATAATCTTGACTTTCACCCTGGGAAGGCGAAGGATCTTGATTTGTGAGTGAGTACACATGTGGAGTCCTGGTGTGGCGTTGTGTGTTAGTGCGCTGGATTGCAAGGTTGGTTTGAACTGCAAGATCAGTGGTTCAAGCTCACCAGCCCTCCTTGGAAACCCTATACAGGGTCGTTATGGGTTGGAATCAACTCGATGGCACCTAACCATAACAACACATGTGGTGTGATTTGAAACCTGTCCCTCTGACTTGTTTCAGGGAAGCCAAGAGTTCAGGCCAGGAAAGCTTGTCCGAAACACATTGATTTTTACATAGTCAAAGTGGAATTTCATTGTGTGAGGGGGCTTCAGAAAGTTCATGGAAAAATGGAATAAAAAGATAATGGAATTTTTCCATGAATGTTTTTGAAGGCCCCTCATATGTAAATTACACATCAATAAATCTAGCTTTTTAAAAATCAGCATCAGAAGAAAATCACGTGTGGACATTGCTTGCCCAATATTCACTCCCCCAGTTCCCCTTCCTCTTAAGAAGCACAGATTTTCATCAAGAAGTCCCACCTGCCCCCAGTAACAGTGTTGACCCCACCACCCAGCTCTAGGAGTGAGCACTGGCCCGCCTAATGCCCCCTCCCCCTGTAGACACGCTTTCAGGCAGTCAGACCCCGAGCTCCTCCCCTGGGTAGGCTGGCATCCGTGTGGTAGTGGGTTCTGACTCATAGTGACCCTGTATAGGGTTTCTGAGCCTGTGAATCTTTATGGGAGCCGAAAGCCTCATCATTCTCCCACGGAGGGGCTGGTAGATTTGAACTGCTGACCTGTGCTTAGCAGCCCCGCTCATAATCCACTCTGCTACCGGGCTCCTTCCTCGAGGTGTGGAAGGCATCTTTTTACACCTGAGCCTGTAGTCATCCACTCACTTTGGCCCACCTGGACAGAGTTTCAGGGTCATCTTAGTTTTTTTAGCAGAAGTATCTTTTGCATACAGGTAAATTTTTAAACCATATAGACCACACCTGGGAGCAGCAGCCCATTAATGAGATACTTACCACCTGTCTGCCTTCTCCCCCCACCCCAGGGAATTGCCATCTCTGAACTTGTACTTCTTTAAAAATCTGGTTAGCCACAGGCAGCTGCCAGGGGGTGACATGTTCTAGTGCAGGGGAGAAGTGGCAAGCAACTGTCTAACCAGCAGTCCCTGGCTTATGCACCACAGACCTGTAGTCCTGGGCATAACTCCTACTCACTCACAGATGATGCTCCTCTAATTCCCTAGTGCCTTTAACACTGACCTCTCCAAAGTGCTGCCAGGAATCCTCTGTTCTTTCCACTTTAAACATGGTTTCCTTGTAGCTTCTGCTTACGTAAGAACCAGGAACCCACAAAGGCTGTTTCCCTTGTTCTGCAGCTACACCGGGATCCAGCATGGGGCTCTGTGAATTGTTGCTTGGCCCGTATTATATGTGCCAAATACTAAAACAAAAAAAAACAAAAAACAGCCTGGTCTTTTTGAACTAGTTAGAGTGAGCAAACCGCCCTTTCTCTGCACACTGAGAACAGTTCTCCTCCCTAGTCTGCAGGCTTCCCTGAGACCAGCAGGTGGGACCCAGAGCACCTAATGGTCTTGAAAAGTAAGCAGGGGGCATTTGGGGGAAAGCCCAGCTTGCTTTCCCGGTGACTCTGTGCATCAAGGGTCAGCTCCTCTGTCCCACATGGGCCTTTCTGGCAAATGCTTTCAGTCCTTTCACTTTAGAGCTGGCTCGTGCTCCTTTTGATCCAAGCTCTATCTTTAACCAGCTGTGTGCCTTAAACAAGTCTATTGACTTCTGTGGTTTGGAGGCTCTCTTTTTACTTACAAAGCTAAGTAGGTTGGGCTAGTCGAACCAAGAGATATCTCAATTCCAGGGCAGCTAATGAGAGGTGGGAAAGTACAGGCTTCCTCCTGAGCTGACCAGGGCCTACCTGCTCCCCACATAGAGCATGAGAGCTCGCCCTGTTCCTAATCTTCAGGCTGATGGTAGCCCTGGGAAGGAAGAGATTATGATTGATGGGGAGGAGTCATCTGAGATGGGGTGCCTGCTATAAGTCTCCAGAAATAGGAACAGTACCTTGTGTTTCCCCCAGACAGGCTCCCTGGCCAACCAGCCGGTCAGTTTGGTGCCTGCGGAGCAATGAGGAGAGGGCCAGGCAGGTAGAGAAGGCAGGCTCTCCCTGAGGGGCTCACTTAGCGGGAGCTGTATTTGGCCCACATGACTCCTGATGAGCATGCTTTCTGTACTCTTCCTGATGACCTTTAATCCAGAGCCCAGCATCACAGAACTGTGTCTACTAGAAAACCCCAGGGGTATTTTGAGTACAACTCTCCCTTGAGGCCATTTGGAGAGCAGTGTTTGGGCTCTGCAATGCCAGGGCCTGTATGAAGGTAGGGCCTCTGGTGGGGTCCACTGATGGATAGCCACAGGCAGCCATGGTCACTACCCTCCTGGCTCACATTTCAATCTATTTCACAAGAAACAGAAAAAGAAACACCACCCAGAATCCTTTGCCCAACAAGTAAGCCATTGCAGTGAGGGGAAGTCTAGCCTTTGTGTTCTCTGATGGCGTTTCACTGCATGACCACACCCTCTAGCTGTTAGAAGAAGAACTAAGTGTGGAGATGGAGACATTTGAGCTGAAGCCTGGCCTTTTCTGCTCCTACAGAAGACAGGGTGTTTTTCCTAAAGGATCAGGGAAGAAAGGAAACTCATTTCTGTGTCTGCCCTTGTTCTGCAACTGGTATGAAGGTGTTCACATAGGGAGGTTGATGAGATGAGAAGTAGCTTCCCTGGGGGGTTCATTCCTCCTGGCTCCCTTGAAGGAGTCCAAAGAACATCATGCATTGGGAACCTGAGCAGAACCAACCCAGAGACTCTACTCTTCCACACCTGTCCTGTGATCAGCACCTGCAAGGGCTCCATTAATCCTGGAAGGGTGGGTGACTGAGTGAGGTGACAGTAGCCTTGGGCCACTAGTTAACTGAAGGAAATCTGGCCCTTTGGTTCTTTTCAAGCAGGAGAGAGTTGACAAAGGCATTGAGACTGACGGCTCTAATCTGAGTGGCGTCAGTGCCAAGTGTGCCTGGGATGACCTGAGCCGGCCTCCCGAGGATGATGAGGACAGCCGAAGCATCTGTATCGGCACGCAGCCCCGGCGACTCTCAGGCAAAGGTGGGAACTGCCATTACAGCCCTCCCTCATTTCTTACCCAGACCTGGTTTTCAGGCTCTCAAGCATGGGTCTCTAACAAGAACAGCCCAGGCAATATAGTTCATTTCCTGGTCTAAGTTAAACAGCAAGTGAAATCTTCCAGCAGAGTGGAAATTAAGGGAGCTGAGTGGCCCCTTTCTTACTGTGTTTCCTGTGTGTGTTTCAAATGTGTTTTAGGTTTACCCCCTTGCAATCTGAGGTCATGCAGGTGAATGGAAGATATAGAACAGTTACAGGAAAGAGCCCTAGTCTATTCAAATGCAAGAGAACAAGTGTTGGCCACCCACGGAATTGACACAGCATCCTGCTCTGGCCCTGTAAACCTAAGAGGCCTGAATGTGAGGCCAGCTTACATGTGACCCCCCCACCCCCCACGCCCCTGCTTTGGGGAAGGAAGCTATGACTATCCTGTTGGAAGCTCACCATGCTGATCGGGGCTACAGAAACAGTTGTGGTTTTCAGCAAATGGTGTCCCTTGCTATCACCAAAGGAAACGCAGCCATTTACATATATGTGTATTTACAGAGTCTTTCCCCACTTCTTTTCTCTATTTCTGTATCATTTTTTTTTTACTTCTTAAAGAGTAAGATACTTCCTTTCCTCGCATCCGGGAGGGTCCTGCCCCCGTGGCCTTTCCCCCGACACATTCGTTAAAATCAAACCTGAATAAAACAGGCTTAATATGAAAAAGAAAAAAAAGATTAAGATACTTGCAGCCCTAAATAAAATACCTACATATGTAATAAAATTTGTAAAAGATTTTCTCTTCATGAAAAGAACAACTTTTAAACAACTGTAGTGCAAATATTTGACCCCTTTCTTTCCTTCCTTCCTATTAGTTCTAATGTGTGCAGATCCCTCTAGGAGGTACAGAGAGAAGGTTGTACAGCTATTAGAATCATTCAGTTGCTTTTGACAAAAGGAGTAATTTAAGAAAGGATTCATAGTCTTGTACAAAATTTCAACTATTGGCTATTTTTGAAAATTTATCAAAATAATCCTTGCCACTGTAACAAGTTAGGAAAGTTGGTAATTGTCTCCTCTCTACTCTAAACCCACCCTTTGAATAGCCAATGTTAGTTTGTCTTTTTGGATATGATGGATGATTTGCAGAGGGGGGTTGTCTTATTTATCTAGTGCTATACTCGGAAACCCTGTACAGGGTCGCTATGGGTCGGAACCGACTCAACGGCACTTAACACAATACCATAAATACCACACGTGGGTGACTTTAACGAAAAGAAATTTATTTTCTTACAGTTTAAGTTACAAGTCCACTTTCCGAGACCCAGCTCTAGAGGAAGGCTTTCTCTCTTGGTTAGCTCTGGGGAAAAGTCCTTGACTTCTCACAGCATCTGTAGGTCTAGCAGTCCTTTGAGACCTCCATGTGTTTTGGCATCAATCTTCCCCTGGTTCTAGGGGCTTCACAGTGCAGGGGTTCTAGATCCAAAGGCTTCTTTCTGCTCACTTCTCCCTCCTTTCAGCTCTTTTAAGAAGGATGTTGCAGGCCAAACCTCCAAGGAAACTTCACTTGGTTGACTGCTCACAGCAGATCTCATCATGGAGTTGATTACATTATATTAGACCTCATCATGGGGGATTACTATGTCTTAATAGCTAAACTGCTGAGAATCCTGGCCCAGGCAAGTTAACATAAAACCTTTAACAATCACCTGGGTCAGAATTTCTATATAGGGACCAGTCTAGTAAGCACTCCAAAGACCAGCAAAGCTCCTTGCAAAGAAAAATTCCACCAAAAGATTCTATTCTTATCTCCTGACCCCAGCCAGATTCATGAGAGGCCAAGTTCCTTGGGATCAAGCCAAGGTGAGGAGACGACCTGAGCCAAAGGAGGAGGGGTGGTAGAGCCAGACACCACTTGAGTGGTCCCTCAGAACCCAGAAACTTGTGAAAGAGGCCCCTGCTTATTCACGATAGTGTACCTGCCTCCCTCAGGTGATCTCTGAGCAGTGACAAAGTCCTTGTCAGTCGGTCACTGTCTGGAGCTATTTTAAGGTAAACCAAGGGCCTGTGATACAGGAAGGAAAGGACAGCAGAGAGGAGAGCCCTGTTTTTCAAGACTCTCTTCTGAAGTCCCGAGGTAACCCCTTTATTTTCCACATGAATGGTGTTCTTTATACCAAAAGTTTCTTGAGAGCTTGGCACCTCACCTGCCCTGTCTCCTCAGATTGCACTCACTCAGACTCACATCTGAATGTCTGGAGTAGGTTCAGGACCAGTCAGCATGAGGGTTTTCCCCCAGCATTTCCGAAACCAGATTTCAAGGGCAGGGTTGGGGCAAACTGGGAGCTCAAAGGGCTATTAGACAACCTAATGGTGTCTTTGCAGACACGGAGCAGATCCGGGAGACCCTGAGAAGAGGACTAGAGATCAACAGCAAACCCATTCTCCCACCAATCAACCCTCAGCGACAGAATGGCCTCACCCACGACCGAGCCCCGTAAGTGCCTCATCCACCTAGGGGTTAATGCAGCTTCCTGACAGCAGTGACCAGGGGCTCTGAGGACAGGTTTGTCATCCCCGTACACACACACCCAGGACTAGGTCAAGGGGATATTTGTGTCCTGTAGGATCTGTCCCTGTGACTTGTATGACAGAGAACAATACCCACAGCCTTGACCCTATAGGCCAAGGTTCGCTGAGTGTGGAGGAGGCATGGTCTGGGGCGCAGACTCTCAGAGGGGACTCAGTGGAATAGGCATATAAACATCAGTAAATATTTACATGGGCTGTGTGAACAGACGGGAGGGCAGGTGGGGGCAAAATCTGATTTGGAGCCTCCCAACCTTGTGGGAGCCCATTGTGCTGAGCATGGTTCCCCTTCTTATCTTAGCCTCAGCCAGAGTTGCCCTTCCTTCCTTCCTGGAGCCTGGTCTCCGGCTGATAGCTGCAACCCCAGGGGCCTCCCTGTCTGGCCAGCACCATACTAAAGGCCTGCTGCTCAGGTCCCTCTTCCTGCCTCCCTTCCCTGGGCCCCAGGGAAGGGAAGGGAAGGGACGTCCTTTGCAGGCCTCTACTGCCTGCCCAGGGGCCCCAACAACCCTTGGGACACTGTGGTCATTTCCTGCTGACCTCCCTTCTGATAGGGCCTGGGCACCCCCTTTTGCCCTTAGTCTTAGAGCAGCTTTGGGGGAAAGCTTCTGGCAGCTCAGAGCAGGAACCCTGCCTGCTAGGGAGGAAATTGCCATGCCCTGGGCTAAAGGGAGGCCAATGAACCCCGCAGGGTCAGGGTGAGCCATCTCTCTTCTAAGAAGTCTTTATTACACACTTGCTGTGTGGCAAACCCCATCTGGCAACCTTCAGGGGTGCAAATCCTTCCTTTAGGGGAGCATGAGCTGAAGCAGTGAACTTGTAATGGCATGACTTGGTTGGGAATGGCTGGTTTTTTTAATGCTAGTTCCCATTGCTCATCCCTGCTCCCCAGGAGTGACCAGTGATCAGTGTGTTGCAGATAAGAGAGGGCAGCACGGTCAGGAGTAGTTAGGGAGGACTTCTTGGAGGATAAAGAACAGGAACTGGCCCTAGAAGATGTCCTGGAATTTGAGCAAGCAGGGGAAAGCTGAAAGGCCTGCCTGGTTAAAGCTGAGACTGCTTCCTGGGAGCATATTGCCAAGTAGGAAGAGTTAGTTTAGGAACAGGGTTGCCCAAGATGGCTCACCTGGTGAATCTGCCATCCAGAAGCCCTGGGAAAGAGACTCTTTGGCAAGAGCCTAGGGAAGCCTCTGCTGCCACCTCAGAGTAGCTTTCAGCTCTGGCCAGTGGATTTCTCCAGTCATCTGCCTTGAAGTAGCTGGCTGGAGACAGCAGAAGATGGCCGCACTTGGTACTGGGGCATCTGCAGGGCCTCCATTTGTAAGCTTGTACCCTAGCCTAGTGGCTACTTTCCCTTAGTTTGACATCTCGCCCTGTTGATACTGGCAAGAGACTAAGAGATACTTTTAGGGTTGATGGCTCCAGCAGATTGCCTGTCACTTGTGAATGGTCTCAGCCCAGATGGCTGGTCCTCCCTCAGGAAGGCTGGGGTCTCTGGGCTGCAGGTAGGGGCTCCTGCAGAAGCACGGAGCTCTTGTCCCTCTTGTGTTTCTGAAAATAGGCCTGAGATTTCACTCCCTGCCTTGGGCATGCTTCCAGCAGCTACGCCCCGAGACATGGCTGGGGTCACAGGGTTCGGGGTTCCTGTGCGCACACACACAGCCCCAGACTCCACCCACAATGACTGACCAACGGGACTTCTGGTCACAGGGCTCTCTGTAGGCACAAGACAGAGCCTGCTGCCGCCTCCACCCTTTGGCGTCAGTTGGCTGAGACCCAGAGCAGTGGTTGGGGAATAGATCAGAGGTGTCAGCCCTCGAGGGTAGTTTCCCCTCCCTGCTGCCCAAACAGACCCAGTCAGGTCTCCAAAGGGCCAGAAGCTGTGCCCTAGAAGCAGTCAGAATGTCTCCTATGGGATTCTCAGTACTGGCTACAGACTGGTCAGCAATTGGTTGAGAAGTGGTTCTTTCTCCTTTGCCACGAACATTTTCCATCATCCCTCAAGTCTCTCAGACTCTAGCTCCTTGTTACCTCAGGATCAATGATGATAGATTCAGTTCAGATTAGCAAGCGTGATCATAATATCTGTGCTGCCCACCCTGGGACCTGCCCTCATTTCAGATAAACCGCATGGATTGTGACTGGACACCAGTGTTTGTTTGCTACTCTCCCTGTCTGGGGAGCCACCAGCATGGGCCTTATTTTGTCTGTGTGTCTTCTTTTCCTTGAGTCAGGACTTCTGGGTTGGGCAGTTCTGGTGTATTGATCTTCATGGGTCTGAATCTTGTCTGAAGAAGCTACAGAGGCAGGTCAGAGGGTCAGAACCCCACTAAACAAGACTGGACTTTAACAGCCGGGTTCTGGTCTACTTGGAAAAGTCATTCACTTGCTCTTTTCATACCTCAATAGTAACCAACACTTTGTAAATAGTGTTTTATAGATGTATGAATTTAATTCATCCTCAGAACTACTCTGTGAAGTACATCATCTTATTATCTGCTTTTGTAGTTGAGGAAACTGAAGTACAGAAAGGCTAATAAAGAATTTGTCCAAAAATTGTCAGGGATGGCGCTTAGGGCAGCGTCTCAGCCATTAAAACGATGTGAGCTTCCTTATCCTGTTCACAGGGACCTCTGCGGAGGACATATAAGTCTGTGTCTCTGAATTAGTCATGATCCTCATTGGTGGTGGTAGTTACGTGCCATTGAGTCCATTTCAACTCATAGTGATCTCATGTAAGATTTCCAAGGAGCAACTGGTGAGTTTGAACTCTCACTCGTATCCTATAGCACCACACCAGGACCCTCATTGGTGGACCTCATATAACAGAGACTTCTCTAAAGCCCCAGTTTAGAAGTTTGCTATGCCTATTAACGCTCTAGAGAGGACACGCCATGAGCCTCAGTGAGTCCAAATCCCAGAAATAACCAGCTGTGTCATCATTGGCTCATTTATACCAGAATTGCTTTTTGCTACAAAGCCTTGTTTTCTTAATGTTCAGAAACAAAAACCACCCATTTCTGACCCCTCCAGCACAGAGCTAGGGATTTCTCTCTCTCTTTCTTGAGGTCTTACTTCCTGCTTCCGAGAAAGGCAGGCCCCTCTGGTAACCTGCTCCTCTCCCACTTGCCTTTGCCAGCCCCCGCGCCCCCCTCGTCCTTCCTGGAAGGAGACTCCTTGGCTGTCTTTGGGGCTTCTTTCAGTGTTTCACAACCCTTACATTCCAGCTGTGAATTTGTATCTGGTTTTCCCCAAGATAATCAGTTAAGAAAAGCTTCCTTCAGATTGCTGGCGTCTCCCTTCCCACCGCCTGATCTGTTGAATGTGGAAAGCCTGTGCCTTTGTGCCATGGAGGACCACCTCCCTTAGAGTGCTGGGGCCTAGGAAAGCAAGAAATCATTGGGTATCGTCTCTGACTGAGGCTGCCTGATTAGGAACAGAGTATTTTACAGTCTGGCCCTAGCTCCAGCGCCTCCAAAATGATATGGGGGCCACACATGGTTAAGTACAACACATGGAGAGTTTGGCATTTTTATAATGGGTTTCAGTGCTTGGCTGCTAACCAAAAGATGGGAGTTTCAAATCCACCGGCGGCTCCATGGGATACCGTAGCAGTCTACTTCTGTAAAGCAGCCTTGGAAATCTAATGGGGAAGTTCTACTCTGTCCTACAGTGTTACATTGTATCAGAATGAACTTGATGGCAACAGGTTTATTTTTAGGGGGCTTATGAAGGGTTTTTCTGAGCTGGGAGTCTGCGTCAGGATTCCAGGACCACTTTTCCCTCTGCCAAGAATTCAGGAATCGAGGTCAGATGGACCTTGAGGGAGTGCCCTGGTCCGTGTACCCTCCCACAGCCAGGCAGGGACTCATGAGTGTATGAGCATGTACTGGAGGGGTCAAACTCTTCACTGGGTAGTTGAAAGCACCTTTAGAAAGTAAAACTAACTGTGATTGCTGAATTAAGTTTCTTGGTCTTCTGGAATTGCACCAGCAACTTGGAAGGTGTTTTTTGTTTTTGGACTCAATTTCCTGGAGAATTAGGTTTTATAGCATGAATTCTCCTGTTCTGACATTTGAACCTTCCTCCCAACATACACACACATATATCCCCCACCCCCTATGCTTATATGAGTGTCTTCTCTTACATCTCTTTGCCTTCCAAGGGGTTAACTTGCTGCCTTTACTGCCATCTTGAATAGTCTGTAAACCTAGCTAGAGAGTCATCCTTTCATGTTTTCCTCAGCCTCTGTGACCCGTAAAGATTAATCAGAAAAAAATACCTAATTTGCATCCAACCTATCAGTGCATTTGTGGAAAAGAAGGCGCGTTTCCCTCTGGAAGAACAGCTGGGCTATTCTCAGTGTTCTCACATGGGGTCATCTTGGATAACCCTGCTCTAGTGGGTTGCATCAGTGCTGCAGGCAGCCCCAAGCTGGAGTCTGCCATATTGGCTCCCCTCACAACACCTGTGCTGGGTAAGGATAGTTATTTTCACTGGAGAGAAGACCCAGAGAACAACAGTCTTCCTCTCAGACCCCAGCTACACCCTACAGGACTGGAGGGAGGAAGGGTCCCTGACCTCTCAGCTCCCTACTTCCTGAACTGATGTGGTCCATGCTTGTCATGCTGAGGACCTTGATGTGTCTTTCTCAGAAATACACATTTGAATGTGAAGAACCAGGGGCTTGTACTAATGATTACTTTGAGCCTTTCCCGTAAGTACTCATTTGAAGACAGAGCAAAGGCAAATCTGGCATGGATAGGTTTCTGTTTTAGCTTCAGTTTCTGTTCCATTTCCCCAAAGAGATTGAGCCATGGCCATGGTTAGCACCCTAACTTCAGAATTCATGACTGGCATGTTGAATTATCAGTTCAAGCACCATGGCATTCTCTTCCCTGGAGTTAC